AAGATTTTCAAGTAAATCAAGACTACTTTAGCGGTCATCAAACGTAATGTGAATGAGACAACGCAGTCGAGAGCAGGTCTCCATCGCCATTCAGGACAAGATTTACACTTCCATATCCACCTTAAAAGCTGATCTTGTCTGCTAAGATTCCCAGAAGAATTTATGGAGGCTTTTCCCCGCTTTGCTGCGCACATGAAGAGGTGTCAACGAGTCGCGCAGTAATGACACAAATGGTGGCGGACTTCACTCAGAGAAACTGATGGCGAGATAATCATAGTTCCTCGGAGAGCTCGATATGTAGATTTGTTTGGCAAAATGCTTAAGGGGAACCCCCTCATTTCAATGGTTGCCTATATATACCTGTATAATGATAGCCTACGAGCGACTCTTGTGCGCTTGGGTACTACTTGACAATGACTGCTCATGGCGCCCTTTTGCGAACGCGCCAGGTATTCCAGCGCCAAACGAGTGTAATACTTATGTTCGAAAGATGGGATTCAAATATTAGGCAAATCTGCAAAATCTGAAATTTCGATCTAACATCGAATAAGGAGGCATTCATCGGCGTTACCATTCCCAGTGAACAATCCCAGCGCTGTGCGATCAAGGAATTCTGCAATTGGAATGGAATTTATTTCTAGCTAAGAAAAAATTAAAAGCAGCAGAGCACAAAAATCAAAATGCCGAAAGTAGCGAGATGGCAGAAATATTCATTTAAGAGCTCACCTCATCTCCGTTGTTGCCAATAGCAAATCCTGGTGGAAGAGCAGGTCCGATTTCTCGGCGTGGTAAGGCCGGCCCAATGTTCTGAGGAGGAAGGGATGGACCTATAGCCGTGGGCGGGAGTGAAGGTCCAACGTGCTGATTTGGAAGAGCTGACCAAGTAGTTGGAGCGGGAAGCGAAGGCCCAATACCTGAGGTAGGAGGAGACGGCCCAACGTTTGAGAGCAGAATGGAAGGCTCCACAGACGAGGGTGGGAGAGATGGCCCAATTTGCTGGTGTGAGAGGGATGAACTACCGGCGAAAGAGGGTAGAGAAGGCCCCACACCGGAAGTTGGTGGAGAGGGTCCAGCAACTGGGAGAAGGAGTGAGGGTCCAGTGATTGAGGTTGGGAGAGCCGGCCCAATAGCCACAGGAGGAAGAGAAGGCCCGATGGATGCGGGAGGGAGGGAAGGCCCAATAGTAGGAGGAAGACTAGGTCCAATAGTTGGGGGAGGAAGAGAAGGTCCAATAGATGCAGGAGGAAGAGTTGGACCAATAACCTGGCCAGAATCTGGAGATCCATTATTCGAAGGTGTTGCAAGATGGAAAGTGCTCTGAGATGTCTCATAATCAAATGGCTCCTCATTATCATTAGGTCTATGTATTGGGCCATCAAGAATCGAATCCTCTTCGGGAGTATCGTCGTCACTGTCCATCTAAAAACTAGAGGTTTCGGCCAATCCTAATCAGCAAAGGTAGAGGGAATTTTGAAAAGGTAAGAAAATAAACCCACGCGATACTTGCGCCTTCGAATCACATCGCTCGAGCTGCTGGAACAAAGCGAGAGCGCAGAAGCTGAAATAACAAGACGTTGGGAATAACGTTCTTAAATAGGCTAGAGACACGAGGGGCCGGGGGCAGCCCACGACACACGGCCGCGAGGCAAACACAAAAGGCCGAACCAGCACATTACACCACCCCCCGCCCTAGCAAAAGATAATCTGTCATTGAGATGCAGTTATTGCTACTGCAGCGCGAAAAAGCGCGCTACATGCAAATTCATATGGTGAAAAACTTTTTTCAATTCACCTGACCAGGAAAGTCTTTCAGGACATGAGCCCTTTTTCAAAACGGTTTGCTGCATGTTATAGGGGCACGGCGTGGAGCATAAATCTGATGATTTTTCTGAGCGGCCCTGGATTGCCAAAAAAAGGGCAGAAAAATTTCCTTGAGAAGTGAAACTTTTCCATTTTTAATAAACTATACAGCATTTGTAGAGTTGAGTAGTTGCATTTTCGAAAGCTTTTTCTTCACTGAATAAGTTGAGACATACATGAGCCCAAGAAAGTATTTAAATTATTTAAAATATATAGAGCTGACATCTCTAGAAATGAGACGCAGAGTTTTTGATCTCTGTTTGGTTCATAAATTGGTACAGGGCACGTATGGCTCCGGTTCTTCCAGTGTCTTCAAGCTGACATATTCCAGAACTAGAGGAGGGGTCATGAAGATTTCGTTGACACGTCCTAAAACTAATTTGCGTGCAAAGAGCTTAGAGCCGGCAGTGAGTATTTAAAGCTGGCGAAAAATATAATTTCAACGTTATTGTTGTAATTTCTAACGTGAGCCTTACGCTGACGTAATAAACTCGTACTTATAAAGTGAAAATCCAAGAAATGAAAAATTTTGTCCTCAGTGGGCATCGAACCACAACCATGGTTCCAGCTTGCTTTTGAGCATTCCCAGAGCAGCTCAGAAAATATTCTCAGGTTCATGCTCTCTGCCCCTGTATAACGCGCAAAAAACCGTTTCGAAAAAGCGCTACGAGACTTGGCACTTTCGGGCGAAAAGTGAGTACGTAATGGCCTAGCAAGGCTTTACCCTTACGGTTAGCGATCGCCTCGTTGCTTCCCTAACTATCTTCTGAGAGGAATGATGAGATAGAGAGACAGATGGTTATAACTTTTGGTTTTTAGTTCGTCACTCTTCCCTGTGTTTTACCATTGATAATTTAACTATGAAAAAATGTTCTAGCCTATCCACTGATGATGACCGAAAAACCATACTGGAATTAGAAGAAGGTTCCATTCTCTCCAGTTTCGGAGCATGGGTCCGATTACGAGCAGGAGCCATGCCGTTGTCGCTAGCAGGGTCGCTGGGAGTCACGCTCTCATCGGAGCGAGCAACCGCCACCTCTTCACTCGGTAGACGGCTTTCATCAGAGTCCTGAATAGAAGTTATACTAAATACGACAATGCAAACCACATTTAACTCACCAAAGCCATGTTGACGGATATATCCGATGCCGATGTTCTTATAGAGATTCTCATGTCTAGCAAAAAGAAATTATAAGAAGAAGAAACTAAGAATGAGAACAAGTCCCACAAAAAAAACAAGTGTAAACACCGCTTACGCACCTAGTATCTGGTCTCCTGAAAACCAGTCAGCAGGAATACCGGATGAGACGGATTCCAATTCGTCTGAAAAAACAGAATTTGGACATTAGTTAGAACTGGACCTAATTAAATAGACATCATACCGGACCAGCCTTCGTCCGCAATTCTCGATGACCAATCAGAACCAGTAGTCGAGGTAAGAGTTTCCGCTGAGAGAAGTTTTTTTTTTTTGCAAAACAATAAGCAATGCAACAATATAAGAGCAAATCGAATAATACCAAGACAAAACGGAATAATACCAGACAAAGATTCTGCAGCAATTATCATCGGATTGTTAACACGATATGAGAATCTGCCGGAACGGTCATCCCCGGACTCGTAATTCATGTCAGCTTAAAAAGAATTAGGAAAATCTGAAGGTGTATTTACTTGAACACCCTTTACATCTTTCAGGTGCTCTTGAAAAAAAAATGAAAAATAAAATGCAAAGAGTATGAAGCAAAGAAATGCAGAAATTGTTATGCATAAAAACGGATTAGAAATATTTAAACAGCAGAAACCGCCGGAACGCGATGTGATGTGAAGAAGCGAATGCGAGAGGTAGCTCCGAACTTGGACACTTTTAAACATAAATTGAAACTGAGTGAAAATTCGAAACATTTGTTGAGAAAGGCTCGCAACCTTTTGAAAAAATTGCAAAATTATACAGGCTCTAGGCGCCTTAGCGCCTAGCATAAGCTTGTAGTAATCTCTATAAGCGCGTTAGAAAAAAATTAAAGATACTTCAGCCTTTTAGAGGGCACTAAGCACCGAAGATTTGGTTTGGTAAGCATACCTACTTTTGCAATTTTTTAGTGAATTTCCGAGCCTACTGCAGCAAAGATTTCAGTGAAAACACTTTTTCAAAATGCTTCAACAACGCGGAACTCCAGGATAGTAAGGTACATCTAATACTGTCAGCAATGGAGAGTAATACACAAGACTATAACTGGCGAATGACGTTAGTGCTAAAGCCGCGTTCACAGTCCACGATTTGAGAGCTTAGAAAATTCAGCTTAAAATATTGGATGCGTATAATAGATCAGGATAATGGGAGACCGGAAGTCTTCAGCGAAAGAATAAACGCATCCAATCCTTTCAGCGCAGTCCTAATCTCCATATATCGTAATTTACCAGTACCAGTCTCGCGAATTTCTAGATCTCCTAATCATGAGCAATCAATCGACCAATCCTCAATCTCTTCAGCGGGATCTTCTCGTTGTAAGGAAGACAACGGTTAAGAGGTAAGCCGCGTTCACAGTTTGCGACTCGGAAGAATAGGATAAAAGACGAAGGATATCAAGATCAGCTGGAAAGATTAGATAGGCATCGATTAGAATCGCTGAAGACAAGTAGAGTAGGCACCTTGCGGCGAATCATTCAATATGTATCGAATCATTCTAGCACACTGTCTTACGCTACTACCCTCCGCAAAATTCAGTCGATCGTATCTATCTCCAAGCGGAAAACCCCACTATCCTAATTTCCCATTCAAAACATATTTTCTTCTTGACACCTACTATCCAACGCTTTGAGCCGCTAACTATAAACGCGGCTTGAGGAGCAACATAAAGGATAAGAATTGGAAGAGAAAATAGGATAACAAGAGATAACCACCATACAAACTCTGGTAGGGTAACAAATAGACCCATACCCGCTATAATCCTCATTTCCTACGTTGCTAAATTTTTAATCTCGCAATGCATTCAGATATCTTTCATTACAGCCTAATCTCCTAACTATTTCGGCGAAATTTTGGAATACTAATGTGACCATCAAACTATAAAGAAATAAAAGAAAACTCTAAAAACCAGATCAAACCACAAATGTCATATTTTGCGTAGGAATTTTCGTCAGCACGAATAAATAGTGCAAAATGAAACATAGGAAGAGGTTAGCGCATCAGCGTTCCTAGCGACACTATTATTACAGCTTTGAAAAGAAAAAATAAAAAAAAAACTGTGCATCATGATAATTCAAACAAGCTACCTCAACTTGAAAAAAAAATTAAATTGTCTCCAGATTGAATAGGAAGAATAGAAATATTACGGTATCCATTTGGATTCGGACGATTCTCCTGGGAAGGATCACTTGGAGGCTGCTCGGAATCCATGACGCTATGAGCGATGAAGTGGCCCAAGTGCAAATGAGAAGTTGTACAAACGAGAGCAACAACCCTCAAACAAAAGATATTAGTTGATGCAACTTCGCAACAGCGGAATTTAGTATTAGAAAAGAACAGCTCAGAAGAGCAACAAAATACCGGCGGCAGGGAAATTCTAAAAAAGCGAATTCAGGAAGACTTAGGCTGGTGTCAGAGTCCGCGACCCGTCGCAGGTTTCGCTGATTTTCGCGATTTCTGCGATTCACGCGCCGGGTCACGGAAATCACAAGTGCCTAATCGCGCAAATCGCGTGAATCGCTCAAATCGCGAAAATCAGCGAAACCTGCGACGGATTGCGGACTCTGACACCAGCCTTAGGCCTCAAATATTAACATTTAGAGAGAACACATCGAAGCAGATTCTTGTTCTACCTCAATTTTCTTCAATGTTTGCGAAACAAGAAGAGTAATCCTCCAAGAGCACACACACTCAAACAAGGACTCAAAATAGGGAACAGCGTCATTAGTGCAGGAAGAAGGTGTCACTGTTTTGAAATACATTTCTTGAAAGTTCCAATCCAACTCGGACGAACACCTGAGCAACGTAAAGGAGAGATATTGTCAGGAGAAAGATGAACATACCAACAATTCACTGATAAATAGATAGCACTACGCTCAAGGTTTTCGAAACATGCATTTTTACCGCAATATCACTCCATTTCTAAAGATGCCTATGTTCAAAAGCTATGAGAACACCACCTTCGGCACAATGAAACACATGTTAAGTTTTCCAGAAGTTTTTTCGTCAAGAATTCAAGAATAAAAAGTTTGGAAGAACAACAAACATATCTCGCATCTCTGAACAACATTCACACTGTTATAGAAAAAGAACGAAAGGTATGACAGGTACAAAAGGGTTTTAGAAGTGGAGTTTTGTGAAAGAGTAATTGTCACATCTGTCAGAAATTGAAACAAACTACGTAAAAGGTGAAATAGAGAAAAAAGAAAATGAGCCTCAGAAAATGAACTGAGCCAACAATGAATCCGATGACACCCCAAGTGACGCAAGATTCGCAGGCGATCAACTTGTATCTTGGATGGTTGTAGGAGATAAATTGCGATGGGGATGGAGGATTTAAAAGATGAGCACAAATGAGCCGGACCGAAGTCAGTAGTCTATTGGCTGTCTAATCAATTAACTCATCATCCGGTATTTTATGTGCTCCTGAAGTTTTCCTTCTGTTCCGTGCCTAAGCTTGTAAATGCGAGCACGTTTTGGAATACTGCAATTTTCTCCAGATTATGGCGGATTATTCTATTGGGGAGAGAATATTGGAAGATCGTTTGTATGAAGCAGAGACGAGTCGACCATGCGAGCCTGAACACGTCTTGAATTTGAAACACGGCGTGGTTCGGGAAGCATATGAGTTGTTCCTCACGCACTTCGGACAAAGCCATCTAAATGTAGGTTATCCTCGAGTTTGCTTTCTCTGACATTGTTTTCCGCTTCATCCTTTTGCGAAATCTGGTTCTATTTTATTCTGGACAGGAGCCTGTTCAACATATTGATCGGGCTTCATTTTGACGGGCTTCATTTTGTGTCTGTAATTTCCCTTCCTTGAATCAGGTCCAAGTAACCAATCGTGGTACTTTGTCTTATCCTCGGATGACGGAAGGAGGCCAAGCCCATCTTGAAAATAGAGAAATAACCGGCTGAGCAGCTTTCCTTCTGAGTGAGATTGAGAGAGCGCTGTCGTTAGATTGGTTTGTTTAACGTCATTTTTCAGCCGTAGATTGTACTTTTGCATGTTTTCCAATTTCCTAAGTGCCCGTTATCCTAATTCCATGTTGCGTGTGAGCAGATTGCATCCTTATCCCTTTCGAAGAGATTGACATTACTGAGAATCAGGGATATTAGCTTTTAGTTCAGCAGATTGCTGGCCTGGGGAAATCTTTTTACTGAACTCGCAATTGGCTTTGTTTAAGGAGCTGAAGGCTGCAGTTGCTCCTGGCCGAGTAAATTTGATTGGAGATCACGTCGACTATTGCGATGGCTTCGTTCTTCCAATGGTAGGTGAGCGATCTTTTAGATATTTTGTTTCCCAAGGCAAGCATGTTGAAGAAGTTCAAGACAGATTCGCAGCAAAAGACGAAGTCATTTCAATACAAAGCACCAAAGGCATTTAGAAATATTTGTGTATTCCAATCAGTAAGAGGGGATCTACAAAGCAGCAGTTGCAAGCCGGGAGATGAGGATTTCTTCAAAGGGGAAGGAACTGCGAAGTAGATAAACCACTTCCACTGTTTTTCTCACGTTACTGTAAGGGTGCCCGTTTTAGGCCTAAATAAAGAACGATCTCTAGAAGACCAGTAGGTTCGCTTTCCTTTCGGTTTAAAGCAACAGTCCCAGCAGGGTTTTTACCTTCGACTAATGGTGTGGAACGATGCGCTAGCCCTAGTCAAGAACATAAGAAGTGTGACTGAACAAAAAACTCACCTTGGAAAGCCGCTAGAAAGGGAGCTGAACGGCTTCGAAGTGGGCGTGGTTATCGGCCGAGGGGATTGCAGCCGACTGCAACCACGCCCACTTCGAAGCTGTTCAGCTCCCTTTCTAGCGGCTTTCCAAGGTGAGTTTTTTGTTCAGTCACACTTTTTATGTTCTTGACTAGGGCTAGCGCATCGTTCCATTAGTGTCGAAGGTAAAAACCCTGCTGGAGACTGTTGCTTTAAAAAATTTACCCGCGGCTTGAGCATGTGGTGACGTCGCTCTTTTTCAATGTCCTACTGAGGGTGTTATAAAATTTCGTGTTGTTCATAATAGTGGTAATTGCTATTGCTATTGCCACAGTAACCGGTGCTCACGTCCTCAGGGGAGGGGGGAGGACTTTTAAAAGCATTCCAAAACCGCTGTTTGGTGACACTAACCAAGCCCAGGAGAGGGGAGAAACGCCAGGGAAAACAGAGGTTCATTATGTCCTCCCTCCAGATCCATTCTCCTTAAGGCTTAATCACAAGTTCTATGAATGGCTCACTCATTTCAATGCCCCCTTCCGACTTGAGCGCCATCATCAGTCCTTAAAGGTGTCATTAGTTTCTTTATGGAATAAGGCACGCATGGATGATATCGAATATCACTGATTTGCACGATGGGATAATGGAAGCAATTTTAGCTTACAAATGAGCTCAACCTAGTTAGATACTCAGTTAGGCTAACTATGTTACAGAATGGTACTAGTTTGTTTTTTTCGGAGCATTAAAGTTCCCAATTGCAGGCCATACCGCTCTACACAGCTGTTCTGGGACGGTTAGCAAGTGATCAACGACGAGGTTTCACTAATATCTTTTCGTCTCAGTTCCCTAGTCCTATAATTGTACATCAACCATACCATCGAATTAATCCTGAAGTTAGTTTAGTTTTTTGTGTTGCGTTACCGTGGAAGATTTAATTGCAGCTCATTCAGGCTGCGGCATGGGGTCGCTACATTCAAGGTATTCTCGCGTTAACCCAATGCGAGCTGTGCTTTGACCTCGTTATTCACTCAACAATTCCTATGGGAGGTGGGCTGAGCAGTTCTGCTGCATTGGAACTCGCTTCTTACTACCTCATCTCACAATTCATGCCGAGTACGTTACAATCTTACCCTGAATGACGTTGTTCTTACCCTCTTTGCCTTTGTAGACGACGAGTTTAGATCCACTTCCATGTGGAGTGGTAAGTGCGCAGCTCTGTTGTCGTGCAGAGCACGAATTTGCTGACGTGCCGTGTGGAATAATGGACCAATTTGTCATTGCTCTCGCCGAACATGGCCATGCAATACGGATAGACTGCAGGTGCTTGTTGCTCTCGATTACTGTATTCTAGTCAGTACTTCTCCATCCCAGCTCAGGTTGAATTTCCTTATCTGGCAGACACTTGAGTTCCTGGCTCAGTGACAATCTTTCAACGTTACAGTGTGTTTTTTCTGTGTTGAGTTGAAATTAAGTTCTTCAAAAATGATATGCGACGACTATCCATGTCATAATCCGTCGTAACACATTGACGACAGCGCGGGATACGTATGTTCCACACTTACGGTGGGAGTAAACTTGTCCTCCTTGGTATGTCTCCATTTTCACCTTCCAGAATGGTCCATAAGCGTCATCGGCCGCAAAAAATAGTACGCTTTTCAACAATAATGAAAATATTGGTGAAGTAAACACTATCGATGGAGAATTCTACAAACAAACAAGTAGACGCGCGCTGAACGGCGACCGTCAGTGGTTAAATGTCAGTCAACGGGCTACTTGAACCCAGCCCTTTTAAACCGCCTCTGCGCTCTCTCTTTTCTCCAAGGCTTAGTCCTAGGCATTCACCCGTTCTCTAATCGTCTGTGCTCTAGCCATCGCGGCAGGACCATTGAGGAAAAATCAAGTAGTCCGTAAACCGTTAAATGTCGTAAAAGTATCCACTTCACTCTTCACGTGCTCGTGGCCCGCAACGAAGACATAGGGTTTGATAGACGAGTTTTTGTCCCGATACGTCGTCACATAGAGTTTTTAAGAGTTTTTTTTTTTGATTTTAATTCAATAGCGTGCGTGTTTAAATTAGAGGTCTTTCAGGCAATTAACGTATGAGTTGATACCAATGAGCATAGCCCATGATACACTATTTCTCATCACCAACAGCGGAGTTCATCACACTAATGCCGATGGTGAATATGCGATGCGGCGAAAAATGGTTGATGATGCTCTGAAAGTGTAAGTGTTCTTTCTCTGGGGTAATTTATGTCAGAAATATTGAGGAAAATTGCAGCGTAGAAGAAGGTAGGCTGAGAAGATTTGATTTGCGAGAGAACGTTTTTGTAGAGCGAAACACCGCCGGAAAAGGAACAGTTGCCGCGTCCCTCCTTTCACGGTTACATTTGCTTCTGAAAGTTAGTTGTCGACCTGATGACGAGCATTTTTTTCTGTCAACAAATAATGAGACATTCTCTGTTCTGACTTAGAGTCTAAAATCAAGTTTGAAAAGGTTTTCACAGCTGCAGACAATCCTTTTGGGCTTAAAGATCATTTTCTCGGCGGCTTAAGGACCAGCTTCAGCAGCTCACGGACCAACTTTTTGGGAGTATCTCAATAAAACAAATCTAAGTAAATAGAGGCCGAGTTAGTTAGTTTGTTCTAGGCATCTGCATAGATAATGTGTCTTAAGTGAGATCATTTTTACGTTTCTAGTAGGGGTTCCTATTTTCCACTCCAAGGATGGTAGTCAACATGATTTCCGAAGAGAAAAAAATGCATTGATTCCTTGACCTGATGATGTGTCGATAGTGCATTAGTGGTCCACAAAGGCTTCTATATTTTTGTTTTCCTTCAAATTAAATTCACATCAGTACCGTATGTTGAATTATAGATTTGGCGTCAGCTCCTGGCGCGACGTTACCCATGAAATCATACGAGAAAAAGCGCCTCTTCTCAATGCTACCACGATCGATTGTGCTCATCACGTTGTGGGTTTTGATTTCTACTGCTATTTTGTAAGAAGTTTTCAGAAAATTCCTTGTTTATTCTTTCAGGTTGACGAGATTGATCGAACAGTAAAAGCCAGCGAAGCTTTGCTGGATAACGATATCACCCATTTTGGCCGTTTCATGTGCGAAAGTCACTATTCCCTGAAGTATGTGTCTTTCTTTCAGCTCGTTTGATATATAGAAAAAAAGTTGTTTGCAGAGACAAATATCGAGTTTCGTGCCCAGAAATTGACGAGTTAGTGTCTATGGCGCTATCATGTGAAGGTGTTTTTGGATCAAGAATGACAGGTGGAGGGTTTGGTGGCTGCACGGTGACACTGGTTCGAAAAGAGAACGTTGATGACGTCAAGAACTATATAAAGGTACACACTCCAATTTGCGTTCAGTTACCTTATGTGTAGGTGATTTTTTATGGGTTACTTGTCGGAACTTCTAAAATTTCAGCATTATTTTTCTTCTTTCTTTTATTCCAAACACAAATTAATCCATCAGGAGTCTAAGAGATGCTGATCGTTTTATCTGCAGCTCCGCTTTTGTGGTTTTGGGTACTTCAACTTTCGACCCTGCACGAATTTCTTGTGTTATTGGAAGCCTCTCCTTTCTCATAGCCGTACTGCTATCGCCCGCTACCATCACCTCACCTATTGCACCTCATTTTATCTATTAAGCAGTATTTTGCTGTAATGATCACTTTCCAGGAAAACTTCAAGAGCGGAACCCCGACTTTTTACGAAAGTGAGCCGGTATCGCATGCTTGTGCTGTAAAACTCGACTTCCTCTCAAGTCTGTGATGACCGTATTACATTTGTTACTAGGTACTGCCTTTTCATTACATTTTGCTTCAAGCTGGTAACAGCAACTTGATTATGGATGAACTACATATTTTTTTAACTGGTAAATTATAATGTACGCATAGGTAACGATGTAGGTGGTGTTCGATATACGGATGGTTTTAACAGATTC